AATTAAAAACTACTGGTAATTCATTAATAAATTCCCCAATGATTATTCACATTGTTTAAGTTATGGAAGAACGGTAGCATAATTTTATTTCATTGTCATTTAATAAATTGTTAGGCTTTATTTTAGGGTTGCATGGAATACTTTTTTAGCATGGTACTCGTAAAACATGAAGTTTTTCATTTAAAAATCTTATAACTAACTGTATAATGATTATTTTTAAATAGTGCCAGTGCAAATTTTGAGTGCACATAATTTTAATAATTTTAATTTACATTTAAAAAAAAAAATAGGCCTACATGTAGATATTTTTTCTCATAAACCTGTAGTTTATTTTTAGGGATAAAAATCTTCTCCTGATTTCCTTATTTAATAACTTTATTAAAAAAAATAATCTAACTACATTTGTGTAAATATACAGTCTCTGAAAATATTGATTAACTATAATAATCTCTACTTATCAAAAGATTGTAAGAAATCCTTGCTTTTTTAATAGTTTAAACTTCTCTCTGTTGCAAGTAAACAAAACAACTGGGAGCCTGCAAATTCAGAATACACAAAGGGGCGGAGCTTTCATGTCACTCAGAACTTCTTTCACACATGAGTGAACAAAGCAGTCCCAGGGACAGCTGGGACTGCTGGGTCTGCTTTTTAGAGCAGTCCCAGGGCAGTCCCATAGCAGTCCCACAGCGGTCCAAGAGCAGTCCCATAGCAGTCCCAGAGCGGTCCCAAAGCAGTCCCTGGGACTGCTTGGGTGTCAGGTTGGGTCTGGTCGGTACTGTAGTGTGCATCCTAAGATGTACCATCCTTGCAAGTTTGGTCAACATAGGGCTTATAGTTACTCGGAAATGAGACCTACACCAAAAACGTCACCAAAAATGTTAACCTGCTCCAAAACATTAACCTGGTGATTCCTCTGCTGAAATTTCAGCATCTGAAATTTTGACTGGTACAATGAGACACACTAGAAACATCTTCCATGCATGTTTAATCAATATAGGACATAGAAGTACTTAAAAAGAAAACTGCTCCAAAAAACTTAACCTTAACCCGTGACACTGACACCGACACCAAGGGTATTACATAAGATCCCCCAACTTCGTTGAGGTGAGCTAAAAAATTAAGAAAACCATGAATCTTATATGAGAAATCAGACAGGGATAATTTCCCAACACAGGTGTTTAAGAAGTTAATTCTGTCTTGTCACCATAATCAAAACTATGTCTGAACTCTCACTTTATTTACAATTTACAACATTCTTTCTAATAATATTATACATATATCACATGGCTTCGAGGGTGACATACCAGAATATTTGCCCCGAGGTGACAGGAAAGCCCTGGAGTGTTATGTCACCCGATACCGAAGGCAGAGGGTGACATAACACACCAGGGCTTTCCTGTCACCGAGGGGCAAATATTCTGGTATGTCACCCTCGAAGCCATGTGATATTGAAGAGAAAATGAATTTCTTAGAGGGTCAGAGGTCATGACCGAATCACAGAGTGAGGTGGGGGTGGGGGGGGGGGGTAGTCGATGACTTCTAATGCTTCAAACAGGGTGTAAGTTTGTGCGACCACATCTATATCTTTATAATTTAGAGGCAAAAATATAGGTTTGCCAGAAAAGGTGCAAGATGCGCACATTTTTGCAATTCATATTTATCTCAGAGGAGACTGGAGGTTATGGATCCTTAATTGTTTTCAGAGTTAAAAAGCCATTTGTGGAAAGTACTATGCTAGTAAAACCTAGCGTATGCTTTAAGACTTTAGAGCAGTATCCTTATCGAAACTCAATTTACTTTCAGCTGTCGTTGAAGTCCAGCAAGGATGACCATAAAAAATCCATTTTTTGCTTTCTAACCGCAATGTTTACAGACTGATACTTTACACGTAGTAATGCATACACAACCAAATTAAAATGGAGGTTTATGCAATAATAGGTTTATACGTAAGTAAATTTGCTATATGTTCATACAACAAAATTTACACACATGAACTAAAAATTTGCGACATGTATGTAGTCCTGACCAGGTGTAAATTTACTCAACTGTGCAGAATTTGCATGTTAGCAAATCAGTTCATACCACAAAAATTGCACATGTGAGTAAATTTACATATGAGTTAAAATATACTAAGGTATGCAAATCACGTCGTATGAATGGGGTATTAGTTAGTTTATTTAATACCTAGGAGCAGAGAAGAAAATTTACAAAGATTTAATGTATTTTCACTATATAATCAATAGAGCCCCGCCCTAACACCAGAACCCCTGATCCTGGGGCCATAAAATTCACAAATCTGGAAGAGGCACTCTTGCTCATCATAACTATGTACTTAGTTAGTTCATTTACTACCCATGAGCTGAGAAGAAGATTTTCAAAGAAATAATGCATTTTCAACATATAATCTATATAGCCCCGCCCTAGCACTAGAACACCTGTCCCTGGGGCCATGAATTTCACAGTTTTGGTAGAGGACTCAATTGTCATTACATTCATGCCAACAGTTTGCCTGCTTGATGTCCAGGAGTAAAGAAGAAGATTTTTAAAGATTGCAATAATTTTTGTGGTTTTGGCCCAACCCCTCAGGCCCCAGGGGGGCGGGGACCATGAAATTCAATATTTTTGTTCCTCTTCACCCATAAATGCTGTATACCAAATTTGGTTGAAATTGGTTCAGTGGTTTCAGAGAAGAAGCTGAAAATGTTCAAATGTTAACACACGATGCACGACGACGGACGAAAACAGATAGCAATAGGTCACCTGAGTTACTCAGGTGACCTAAAAGTACAAAGGTTGTCCAGTAAAATCGTAGACAAAGCGTTTTTCTAAAAAAATAATGGGCTCACAGAGCTGATATTTTCAGTGAATGTTCATCAATCATATCTAAAATGCATAAAAAATAATTTTTGATAAAATATAGACAAAAATAAAGATTTTATTATGCTTGAATGTGCACAGGGTAAGGCCCTACGGCGTACGGACAAAAAGTCAAGATTTTATTAAAGAATACACAAGTATTAATTTGAAATTAAAGTTTTATATACATAACAATGGGGTAAAAAGATCCTAATTTGATTCTACAATCTATTTTGGCGTCTTTTTAAAAATTTCAAGGCATTTGGTTGATATTTGGCAGTTTCCCAAGCATTCAAAATGGGAAAGTGTTAAACTCAACACACAAACATAGGTAATCAAAGATTACGAAGCTCACCTCGACAAATGTTATCAATTTAGGTAATGCAAATCTCACATCATATTTCCTTAACAGTTAGCATTTATTCTGACAACAGTATTCAAGCAAGTTCTGTTTAAATAGGTCTTAAAATTCATTGGGGAGTGACCAGTTCCAAAAATTTAACCTCATCAATTGTTTGGAAAATACAAGTCAGATTCAACATCCAAAGCAACTTTCCATCATCCATCCTTAAATGCATCATCCATGCAAGTTTGGTCCGAGTAGGGCTTTTAATTACTTGGGAATAACCTAGTCACTAATCTGGAAAATGTAGGTCACATACAGCACCCGAAGCAAGTCTGGTAGTGTCCATCCCTAGATGCATCATCCATGCAAGTTTGGTCCGGGTAGGGCTTATAGTTAATTGGGAATGGACCTGCTCCAAAAACTTGCTTCTGGAAAATGTAGGTCACATCCAGCATCCGAAGCAAGTCTGGTAGTGTCCATCCCTAGATGCATCATCCATGCAAGTTTGGTCCAGTTAGAGTTTATATTTACTTGGGAATAGACCTGCTCCTAAAACTTTAACTGGGACGCCGACACCGACGCCGGGGGGTATATCATAAGCTCATCTCAACTTCGTCGAGGTGAGCTAAAAAATGGACATAGTGAAAAGTTCAAAACGCAGTGATCATTATTTTTCACACAAGACAACTTGTCCACGATTTTACAGGACAACCCTCATATTTATATCCATTGAAATGTCTTGTAACAATGAATACATAGGTGATGTATGAAAGCCCTAGAACACATTTTTCAAAAGTAATGGCTGAGGTTAAGAGGTCAAATTTAGAGTTACCCAGAGAAAGCTCTTGTCACAAGGAATATGCCTTTAAAAATTAAAGCCATAGCCCCATCCATAATTAAAGCCTGTATAACTTTATCTTTGAAAACAAGTACAGGTGACTCTTGATTGCTCGAACTCAGATCTCTCGAAGTTTTCGATCTCTTGAAGTAAACCTCCGTTCCCGTTTTTTCCTCTATATAATTAATCAAATTTACTCCTGATCTCTCGAACTTCTATCTCTCGAAACTCTCTATCTCTTGAACCAAGACCTGGGTCCCATTATGCATATTTCATTCATTTTTTACTCTCTATCTCTCGAAGTTTTGATTGCGCTTGTATACACCCCAATCAAGTTAAAATTGATGCAGCCTGGACTTACCTGGAAAACGGTGAACAACTGGGGCTAACATGGAGGTGTTAATTGGATGTTTACATAGACGACATCTGAAAGTCGTCCATGTGTTGACAAAATTAATTGGTTATTATAGGTAAATTATAAACAAATTCACAACTTATTTGGACTTGAATCCGAGATGATAATTTTTAGAAAATAATTTATAGACGTTCGTTTAAATATGTTTCAATAGTCTATAAACTTTAATTAGAGTCTACATAATCCAAGAAAGGCAAATATTGCACAAGAAATTCATCTCTCAAGGATGAGACTTGAGGAATTCATTTCATTTATTCGAAATACAATCATTGTTGTTGAAATCAGGTGAATTACCTGTAAAATACGATTGAAAATGTGCAATGACTTTATTTACATATACTTCCGGTATCTATATTAGTAGAACATCGATGATCAGAACTGAAAAATTTGGATTTTATTTACTTTCTATCTCTTAAACCCTCAGTCTCTTGAACTTTTATTGCGGTTCCTTGAATTTCGAGAGATCGAGAGTCATCTGTAATCTTTAAACAAATAATACAAGTATCTTTGAATACAAGTAATTCCCCTTTTCTTACTTTACTCACCTGAATAAACAATGCATAGGCTATTGGCATGCTCCTTATAGACATGAAGAATTCTCCTTGATTCATAGACTCTTTTAACCTCAGTAACACGGTGTAAACTACAAAACACGAAAAAATCTGAAATTTTTTACAAAATGTGTTAAGAGCATACATCAACATTTTTTTTTACCATGACGACACTTAATGCACATTAGAAAAAAAAAAGTAAAAATAAAAAAAAATTTTACTTAGATTTTAGTTATACAGAGCATTAATCTGATAGACCTATGAACTGGTCTACATTCATCGAGAACGAAGAGATGCATCAACTGACAAAGTTTGATGAATCTAAGCCAATAAGTACCTGATACTCTTAAATATAGCCATAATATGCTCAAAGGCATTCACACCTGTGGAGAATAAGCCCCTCCCTTACCACCCAGTAAAAAATCTCTGCCTTTAAACAACCGTGTTCACCCCACAATAGTTGCACCGTCAAAACATTACATGTACATATTCCAATGCAATAGGAAATTTAATTAATTAATTCTGATGAATTTCAAATTGAACTAGATGCTGTCATGAGACAGTAATACCCGCACTAAGGTGTTTGCCTCTAAATGCACACTTCTTCATATTGGGCTTTACCAAGGAAAAAGTCAATATAATTCAATAATTTACATAATACATGTATTCATCAAATTGAGCATAATATGCTCAGGTGACCATGTAGCGGCAGATCTGCAGCGTTATGGTTTTATATATTTGTCTTTGACCATATAACGCTACAGATCCCCATATGCAAAAAAGGTGCAATTTACGGCGCAATATTTTTTGCGCACTTTTTCTCCACTTTCTAGCATTGGTCAATCAACTACCTTTCACTCCCTAATTTTAGACACATTCTGTAGCCAATATGTATATTTTGTCCACCCCCCAGCCATTTATAGTCATCTCTACAGGCAATAAACTCGCTTGATGTGAATTTTCAGCAATCTAACAAATAATTTTAATCAAGCGAGTTTATCACGTGTAGAGACGACTATGAAAGGATTGGAGATGGATAAAATATACAGATTAGTTAAACAATGTGCCTAGAATTAGGGAGTGAAAAGTAGTAAATTAACCGATGCTGGAAAGTGGAGAAATTCTCCCCAGAAGTGCGCAAAAAATATTGCGCCGTAAATTGCACCTTTTTTGCATTACAGGATCTGTAGCTTTATGGTCAAAGACTAATATATAAAACCATAATGCTACAGATTTGCAGCTAGTGACCATGTGACCCATGGGACTCCATCTTATTTTTATTTCATATTCATAATTGATTACCAGTTGGAAATAAAACAACAGAATTAAATTAATAATGTAAATTAGGTTTGATAAAGGGGGGGGGGGTGTATAAATTTTTGGCACATACTGTATAAGTGGAAATTTTAGCGAAACGCAAATTTAGCGATTTCTACCTAAAATCTGGTATTTTATTTTTAGCGAGAAGTAATTTTAGCGATTTTAAAATGCTAATTCAAGAAGCTTTTACAAATAATAAGCAATTAATTTTCAGCGGTATTCAATTTTAGCGATGTCAGCACCCTCGCTAATAATGCCAAAATTAAATCCTCGCTAAAAATTCTACTTGTACGTAATTGGAACTTTTAAAATCTATTTTCTAAGATAGATTAACAAAAAATAATATTATTCAAATTAGTGTAAAGCGTTTTTGATGAATTTTTTCAAAATGTGCAAAGTTTATTTATATTTGATTAGGCAGAAACTTCTTGAAAGCTGCCATATACACAATCAATTTAGTCAACCCGCACTCCTCTCCCATCAACACACACACACAAACACACCTTATTTGCCTGTTTTTGGAAATAGGCCTAGATGGCAAAGTTAAAATAAAACATCTTTTGTAAATGATAATTTTCAATTTGTTCTTGCACTATACATGTATCTGAACACCTGCATCACATTGGGCTTGCGTCACGTACCCAACTTAAGTACTAGTTTTACCATTGGCATTATCATTTTAGATTTCACTGCACGTGCAGTAGGCTACTAATGTGCATCATTGCATATATGTCAGTAGGAATTATTTCATTTTGTGTTTTAACTGGATTATATTTCATGAAGATGACAAGGCCTAAATAATGACAATCGGTAAGTACAGGTTTTGGTATAGTTTTGGGTAAAATAGTCTGAAATGCAAACGGTTAGGTTCAAGTTTAAAGGATCAAAGGTCATCCGATGCTACAATAGACGAATTTCACATTCTGAAGAGTTATCCCCCGTTATCAACGTTACATTCAGTTACAAGATCCGAAATTTTTTTTCTGGGAGGGAGGTGGGGGGGGGGGGGGTTCCAGACCAAAATTTCCTGAGAACCAAAAAAAAAAAAAAAAAAAAAAAAAAAAAGTTATGGTTGGGTCTGTTTTCTAGGGTGGAGGGACACTGGCATCCAAAGTCATTTTTATTGACAAATGATCATGTGACTCCTAAATAGTAGGAAACTTTTTTCATTTGACTATACATAATTTTGTTACTTGTGTTATTATGTTATGTAAATTTAATGGTATAAAGGTTATGAACCCCTAGAGGTCATCCCCACTCTCCTAATGAGCTGGAAATGTTCACAGTTTGAATATGACTGCATTAAATTAAATAAAAGTGCATCAATGATAAGATTACTTGACATTTTTATTCATGAATTTGTGTCAACCTATGTTCCTAGAATTAGGAATGAAAATCATTCAGAGATGGACCACATTAAACTATTTGTATAAACATTTTTTTTAAATGTAAAAACAAGTAGTACTGGTAGTTTGCATACATGAACAAACAGGGGTCTGCGAAGGGGTGAGGGGAAGGATCGAGTTAATATTTCTTTACGTCTTAATGGTTGAAAACTCCAAAAATGAATGTTGACCTCAAATCTAATTTGTCCTCATTATTTTTTAAGTGGTGGTGTCTCCATATGAGTGAAAAATTCCTGAGAGGGATGTTTAACAACAAACAAAATGCCATGAAAACACAGTATTGATTTGCGTTAAGAAATATGCAGGAGATTTTTTCCATCATAAATCTTCTTCTCAAGAACAGAAAGGGCATTATTGTCCCCCATTTTGGGGAAAGGGAGGGGACATTAAATCTCATTTGTCTGTCAGTCTGTCCATCTTATTGACAGCTAGTATGTGCATCTGTCACAATAAATTTAACCTTGGTCATAACTTTTGAATAATAAGAGATAGTGCTTTCATATTTCACATGTACATTACCACAAAACTTTCTAAATATACTATGATTTTTTAACCCAAGTAAGACCTTGACCTTTAAGTTTTACCTACTTTCCAAAACATAACATTTTAAATTGATCATTTTGAAAGAGAAAAGAAAGGGCATTCAAATTATACATGTTTATTACATGTGAAAAGACTTTTCTAAATATATCATGACTTCTGACTCTGTGACCTTGACCTGGAAGTTTAACCTACTTTTCAAAAATATTATATTGTATATATAACTTTTGAATCAAAAGAGATAGGACTTTCATATTTGACATGTACATTACCTGCAACAAAATGTTTTGAGAGCATGCTATGATTTTTCCCCTTTGACCCAATTTTCAAAAATTGATATATGATAGGGGTGCACATTTGACACACAATCTGCCATAAATTATGGCATCCCATTCACTAAAACACAGAAAGCAGAGGACCACAATTCTTTGAATTTGCTTGTATAATCTTGATAGATGGAAACATCCTCATATAATGTAGATTCAAGTTTTTTATGCCACACCATGATTAGGAATACATGTATAGTTTTGATATGTCCGTCCTCCACCCTTCCATCTGTCTTCACATGATGATACATACTGATGTAAGCTTTACAATGCTTCACTCTTTTTTACCTTGACCTTTCCTGTGACCTTGACCTCACTTTTCTAAAATTAATATCTAGATCAGTTTTGAATAAACAATTCAAGATATATTTATCAAACTCCATATGCTGATTCATACTGCTGAGAGGTATTAATACATCAACTTATTTTGACCTTGAATTTTCCTTTGACCTTGACCTCACTTTTTAAAATATATGTTTATCTAAGTTTTAAATAAACCATTAATTATAGTTTTATCAAACTTCATATGCTAATAGTAAATTCATACTGATGTAAGCTTGTCAACTGCAACAACATTTTGGCCCCAACCTTTCCTTTGACCTCTCTTTTTTTAGAAAAACTGTTAAGCTCAGTTTCATTAAATAATTCAAGATATTTTTATCAAACATAATATGCTGATATGTATTAGTGAAGCTACTAAACTGCATCAAAAACTTCACCTTGCACATTCCTGTGATCTTGACCTCTATCCTTTTTTTATTTGTATTTCGCTTAGTTTTAAAGAAATCATTTAAGACATTTTTAAAACATCATTTTTCGACCCCCATTAGTCCCCCCGGTGCAAAATCAACATTCCAAAACCTTACTGCACATCTACATGACACTACCAACCATCTCCTAAAAGATGATTAGCCTACTGTGTAAAATGTAAGATAAGTTCAGGGAAGACGGGGCTTTTTGCATAAAAAACGTCCTTTTTCGACCCCCATTTGACCCCCCGGGGCAAAATCAAAATTCCGAAACCTTACTGCACATCTACATGAAACCTACGACTATCTCCCAAAAGATGATTAGGCTACTGTGTAAAATGTAAGAGGAGTTCAGGGAAGATGGGGCTTTTTGCATAAAAAACGTCCTTTTTCGACCCCCATTTGACCCCCCGGGGCAAAATCAACATTCCAAAACCTTACTGCACATCTACATGACACTACAAACCATCTCCCAAAAGATGATTAGCCTACTGTGTAAAATGTAAGAGGAGTTCAGGAAAGACGGGGCTTTTCGCATAGAAAATGTCATTTTTCGACCCCCATTTGACCCCGCGGGGCAAAATCAAAATTCCTAAACCTTACTGCACATCTACATGACACCACCAACTATCTCCAAAAAGATGATTAGGCTACTGTGTAGAGTGTAAGAGGAGTTCAGGGAAGAAAAGTGTGACAGACGGACGGACGGACATGAGTAACAACAATATACCCGAACTTTCTTTAGAAAGTGCGGGTATAACCATGCTTAGTGCTTCCTAGTACTTTTAGTACTTTGATTTTTCACTTGAACTGTAAAAATATGTCAGTGTTATTCCAAATCAGGTCTATACATATTACATCTTTTAAAAAAAATTATGAAATTTTTTATATCAAGATATTTTTTTATACTAAGAATCAATTCAAAAGTTTAAGGTTAAA